TCATGTGAGCGTATGCGACAGTTTCGACGCAATCTCTTCCGCTGTGCTTCGAGAACTCGATGAGAGCAATCGATTCGTCCGAAAATCAGCCGAATCGACGTCGATTTGACCGAGATAGAGAGTTCTGAAGTTTGGTGGGGACCCCCCAAACCAGTGGTTGGTTTCCACACAGCGAGGAACGCGGCGGCCAGCCGCAGCTGCGGCTCGACCTCGCAGCCGACGACCACGTCCGCGCCCGCGTCGCTCAGGCCGTGGCGCGCGACCTCCGCCGCCGCCAGCGCCTCGAGCGGCGGCGTCTCCGCGTCGTAGGACGCCGCGGACGCGAGGAGCGGCGCGTCCGGGAACTGCTTCCGCAGCCGCTCGACCTCGGCCGCCGACGCCGCGGGCACGAGCACGGCGTCCAGCGCCTCGTCGCCGGCGAGCACGCTCGCCACGAGCGTCGGCGTGAGGGCGCCGTAGGCCACGGGCAGCCCGCGCGCGCGCGCCTCGGCGACCGTCGGCACGTGCTCGTCGAACGCGACCACTCCCAGGTCGGCCGCCGCCTCGGCGAGGACGGCCGCGACGGTCATGCCCTCGGGGCCGAAGCCCCGGATCGCGACGACGCGCCGCGGGCCGGGAAGCCGGTCGGGCGCGGCCGCCAGCGTCGTCGCGTCCGGGCGCGCGACCTCGACGCCCGCGTCCGCGGCGTCGTCGCGCGCCCACCGGTCCGCGATGGCGTCGCCGAGGGACCCGAGCGCGGGCGTCAGCGCCATGGACAGCACGACGACGGCCGTGTCCAACCGCGCGAGGTCCGGCGGGAGCACGTCGAGGCGCGCCGCGAGCGTTAAAACGACGAACGCGAACTCGCCGCCGCCCGCGAGGAGCAGCGCGGCCCGCACGGCGTCGCGGCGGTCGAGGCCCACGGCGAGCGTCCCGAAGGCGAAGACCACGAGCGTCTTGATCGAGAGGAGCCCGACGAGGAGCGCCGCGGCCGTCGGCAGCTCCTGCGCGACCTGCGCGACGTCGACGGCCGCGCCGGTGGTCACGAAGAAGAGGCCCAGGAGCAGGCCCCGGAAGGGCTGGATGTCCGCCTCGATGCGGTCCCGGTAGTTCGTCTCCG